GGAAAACAAAGAGTGTGAGAAACGGGTAAAATTTAGATTTTAAAAAATGTTCAGGGCCAGGCATGGTGGCTTATGCCTGTGATCCCAGCACATTGGGAGGCTGAGGCGGGAGGATCAGAAGGTCAGGAGTTCGAGAACAGCCTGGCCAACATGGTGAAACCCCGTCTCTACTAAAAATACAAAATTAGCAGGGTGTGGTGGCAGGTGCCTGTAGTCCCAGCTACTCGGGAGGCTGAGGCAGGAGAATCATTGAAACCAGGAGGCGGAGGTTGCAGTGAGCCGACATCACATCACTACACTCCAGCCTGGGCAACAAGAGCAAAACTCCATCTAAAAAAAAAAATCTTCATTCACCATAATAGGAAGTCATTAGATAATATCTGAAAACTCATAAATTTAAAAATTGCATGGGGCAGGGCATGGTGACTCACACCTGTAATCCCAGCACTTTGGAAGGTTGAGGTAGGCAGGTTGCTTGCGTGCAGTAATTTGAGAGCAGCCTGGGCAACATGGTGAAACGCTGTCTCCATTAAAAGAAAAAAATACAAAAAAATTGGCCAGGTATGGTGGTGTGTGACTGTAGTCCCAGCTACTCAGGAGGCTGAGGAGGTAGAATCACCTGAGCCTGGGAGGTGGAGGCTGCAGTAAGCCAAGACTGTGTCACTGCACTTCAGTCTGGGAAACCCCAGTGTCTGGAGACCCTGTCTCAAAAATAAATACATTAAGTAAGTAAGTAAATATTGTATAGTAAGATGTCAATAGACGATGGACTAGAAAGCTACAGCCCCTTCTTTCCTCACAGAGACACCAAGTTAACAACAATATACCGACCAGAATACCTCTGTGAGAATCCTATAAACAAGCTGAGAAATTAGAGCACCTAGGCCATTGTAAAACCAAGAAGGGATTTCAGTGAAAAGGGAAGGACAATTCATAGCATTTGGTGTGTCCATTAGTGCTGCTCCCCTATGCCGTACAGTACAGAGCAACCAGGAGAAAATTCTTCACACTCAAGCTCTCCCCTTGGAACAGAAACAAAAGAGCTGATCTTTCACCAAACATTTGGACTCGTGTGGGGGCTGCCCAGGGAGCTGCTTTCTGTTTCACCTGACTCAAAGCACTGATGGGATTAGCGCCAGAATTTTGGAAGCCACTAAAAACAGAGGGAAGAAGCACACTAGAGCTGCAGTTCTGCAGCCAGATGCCAGGAAGAGCAAGGGATCAAAACAGGTTGAAGAAGTTTTAGAACTCCAGCCAGGCGATTGGTGAAGGTCTTCCTCTGCATAAAGCCAGTATGCAAACACTGTAAGAGGTATTCGTTTTTTAGATATTCAAATCTCGGTTAAAAAAAAAAAGTTACAAGGCACACAAACAAACAGAGAAACAAGGCCCAATAAAAGAACAAGATAAAACTCCAAAACTTGACCTCAGCTGGGCGTGGTGGCTCACGCCTGTAATCCCAGCACTTTGGGAGGCCAAGGCGGGTAAATCTATTGAGGCCAGGAGTTTGAGGCCAGCCAGGCCAACATGGTGAAACACCATCTCTACTAAAATACAAAAGTTAGCTGGGGACTGCATAAAGAAAATGTAGCACATATACACCATGGAATACTACGGAGCCATAGAAAACAATGAGTTCATGTCCTTTGCAGGCACATGGATGAGGCTGGAAACCATCATCCTCAGCAAACCAACACAGGAACAGAAAACAAAACACCACGCATTCTCACTTATAAGTGGAAGATGAACAATGAGAACAAATGGACACAGGGAGGGGAACATCACACACCAGGGCCTGTTGTGGGGTTGGGGGCTAGGGGAAGGATAGCATTAGGAGAAATGCCTAATTTAGATGATGGGCTGATGGGTGCAACAAACCACCATGGCACGTGTATACCTATGTAACAAACCTGCACATTCTGCACATGTATCCCAGAACTTAAAGTATTTTAAAACATACATATAAAAGTCACAGGATGTTTGTGATAGTATCTATTACACTGATGTTGCCATCACATAGTTGACTATGTGCAGACTCCAAGTGAAATTTCTTGCAGTTGTTACAGACATGGAAAATCTGTATTTCCAGATAAAAACTGGAAAATTTTAGAAAAACATTCAGGATTTACAGTCTAGAGCTCTAACACTGGAATCTTTTCCAACTTTAAAGTTTAATGATTTACTTAAATCTAAAAATAGTAGGTTGCAGATATATTTAAGCAGTGTGCCTAGGTAGTATGTTTATATCTTAAGATTAAAATGGTCTTCTAAAGTTTACTAATTCTAATATAACCTTTATTGTTTCATGTAGACATATCTTTCCGATTCCCAGGATAATTTAAACAATGCAGAGTAACTATTGACTTAGTTCTAGATTGGGATAGCTATTTATGCATTCAAAGCTTTAGATATGTATTTCAAATTAGAAATGTGTGCTGGTTGTGGAAAGTTGACTTAGAGCCTCAGATAAGTTTTGTTTTTGTTTTTGTTTTTTTGAGATGGAGTTTCACTTTTGTTGCCCAGGCTGGAGTGCAGTGGCACAATCTCAGCTCACTGCAACCTCCTCCTCTCAAGTTCAAGCGATTCTCCCGCCTCAGCCTCCTGAGTAGCTGGGATTACAGGCATGCACCACCACGCCCAGCTAATTTTGTATTTTTAGTAGAGATGGAGTTTCTCCATGTGGTCAGGCTGGTCTCAAACTCCCGATCTCAGGTGATCCACCCGCCTCAGCCTCCCAAAGTGCTGGGATTACAGGCATGAGCCACTGTGCCCAGCCACCTCAGGTAAGTTTTTTTTTTCCATGTGAACACATTGCTTTCGATTGATGTTATGCCCAGAGCAGACGATTAATAAATACCCTTTGAATTAAATGAGTGATTAACTGTAAATATCACAATACATCTTACTGGGCATAATTAGATATATCTAGTCCTTGCTGTGACCTAAGAAAGGAATTCTTTTCATTAAATGTTTAATGTTGGCCGGGCGCGGTGGCTCACGCCTGTAATCCCAGCACTTTGGGAGGCCGAGGCGGGCGGATCACAAGGTCAGGAGATCGAGACCACGGTGAAACCCCGTCTCTACTAAAAATACAAAAAATTAGCCGGGCGCGGTTGTGGGCGCCTGTAGTCCCAGCTACTCGGGAGGCTGAGGCAGGAGAATGGCGTGAACCCGGGAGGCGGAGCTTGCAGTGAGCTGAGATCCGGCCACTGCACTCCAGCCTGGGCGACAAAGCGAGACTCCGCCTCAAAAAAAAAAAAAAAAAAAAAAATGTTTAATGTCTCACCCTGTTCATACAGCTGGAGTTACTGATTCAGTCTGATGTGAATTCAGTCTTATAAAAGACCCATCATTATAACCTGCTCTTATGCTTCCTGTAGTATTGGAACTTCCAACTTGTAGGCAAAATAGATATGCTTCATATTCTTAAAAACCACAAGAGGCCAGGCTCAGTGGCTCACGCCTGTAATCCCAGCATTTTGGGAGGCCGAGGTGGGCGGATCATGATGTCAGGAGATCGAGACCATCTTGGCTAACATGGTGAAACCCATCTCTACTAAAAATACAAAAAAGCCGGGCATGGTGGCAGGCGCCTGTATTCCCAGCTACTCGGGAAGCTGAGGCAGGAGAATGGCGTGAACCTGGGAGGTGGAGCTTGCACTGAGCGAGATCGTGCCACTGCACTCCAGCCTGGGCAACAGAGCAAGACTCCGTCTCAAAAAAAAAAAAAACACAAGAAATATCCCTTTATTCATAAGAAACATAGAATTAGGTATTCTATTAAACTGAACAACAGAACTAAGTGGGAGTGACCGCATACGCTCTATCACAAATTGCCTGAATGTCTGAAAAGGTCAGTGGGCCATTTCGCTCCGTGCTGTGCCACAGGCAAACCACAAGAGCTGTCAGTGACTCACTGCGTGGGTCACCCAGGGCATGTGGTGCTGAGGCTGTCAAAGAGCAAGACGGGGCTGCATCTAAACTCAGGCCTCTGCTAAGTGTCCGAACTTGGGCGAGATGCTAAAGACTTTAGAGACGTTTCCTTTTCTATAGATGGGGTTATAACACTCACCCTGTCAGGTTCTCGTGTGTGTTGACAAGGCCGGCACGTGACACACCAGGGGCAGAGTTGGATGGGAACCGTCTTCCTCAGACAACATGGTCCTCATAAGCATCAACAAAATAAGGAGAGCAGGAGATCAGGGTGTCTCCAGCTGTGTCAGGACTGCAGCAGGGACTCAGCAACAGTCAGTCTCTTTCTCTTGTTTCGTCCAAATCATACATTCAAAAAAAAAAGGTGGGGTTATCATGGATGTTTATATGGATTCCTGGGATCAGGCAAATATACCTTTCCTTGTCATTCCTTCAAGAGTTATGTCCACACACAAACTCGCACACAAATGTTCAGAGCTTTACTCAGGATTACCAGAAACTGGAGGCAACCAACATGTCCTTCAGTAGGTGAATGGATAAATAAATTCTGGTACCTACAGACAATGGAATATCATTCAGTGAGAAAATAAATGAGCTATCTAATCATGAAAAGGCACACAGGGACCCAAAATGCATACCACTAAGTGAAAGAAGCCAAAAAGGCTACATACTGTATGATTCCAATTACATGACATTTTGGAAAAGGGAAAATTACAAAGATAGTAAAACAATCAATGGTTGACAGGGGTTGGGAAGAGGAAAGGATGGATAGGCAGAGAGCCCTGGCTGCTTAGGGCAGTGAGACCACTGTGTGCCCACTGTGTGCGATTTCACCACAACGGTGGACCCACGACAGCGTGCAGATGCCCACACCCATTGAATTAAGACCACAAAAAGGTATTAATTACATCAACTATGAACTTTCATAATGAAATAAATCATGTTTTTTAGAAGTGGACAGTTTTGTTCAGTTTCTGTCTACTTTCTGAAATGGAGACGGTGGAGCGCTTCCATGGTTGTGAGGATAAAAATAGCTTAGAGAATGTAATAACTAAAATAGGTGCGTAAACATTGTTAAACTATTTTATTCTCATTAAAAAGCATTGCTTAAATATATTTATATTTAAAAATTGAGCAAGGAGTGCAAACACATTAACGTAATTCTCCTCTAGCTCCACTGAGAAGTCAGGACTGCACGGCTCCGCTTGCACCTGCGAAACACAACAACCTTTTTCAGCGTCATTAAAATATTTCAATGGGAGGATTGACTTTAGATTCAACCTGTGTTTTCTCCCCTGGAAAACAAAGGTTTTATGAAACAAACAAAGCCTTTACCGTCCTCAACCGAAACACTCAGACATCTGTGATGTCTGCTGTAAGTGCCACCAGGCTCTCCTCTGAAACCTCGTAATGGGAAAATAGAGACTGTAGATTCTTTTAGAAAGGGGAGAATCAGAACTAATGTCAAAAGGCCACATCCTCATTCATAAACACCTTCTTTTACAAATTCCACAGGTTTAGTTACTTTGGGATTAATATGGACCTATTTTAAAGTGCATTTATTAATTTAGCATGAATTGTTCAAATTCATTCTGGATCCTAAGCCGACATCCAGCAATGCCGGGTGTGCGCCTGGGAAAGTCACCAGCCCTGATGAGCCTCAGATTATTGTATTTGTAAAATGAAGGTTAGGCTTGCTCCAATTTTTTTAAAACCATTTTTAATAGTAAAAACTTTTTTCTTGTTACATAAAAATGTACAAGAAAAACTCAAACATTACCAATGATAATCATTTTATTAATATAAATATTTTTGTGAGCTCAATTTATGACTTAATTATAGAAGAAATAAGCAACATGAGGTGCCATTATACAATATGGTAACCATACTTTCCTACTTTGTCTATATGTTATTGATAAATCTTGATGTATACAGAAAAGGAGTTTCAAAGAATAATAATTTAAAATAATGTCTTGACTTGTAATTTCAGGGACTTTAAAAAAATTCCTGCAACTGCTTTTTAAAGGTTCTAGAACAGTTTTCTATGTCTTCCAGCTAAATAACTACAAAGAGCTAACTCTTCTCACGTTCTGTATTATAAATATGTAAGTCAAAAAAGGAACAGACAACATCATAAAACACATGCATGAACAAATGGGCCTTGGCTCACATTTAATTGCATCTGCCAATGCACATAGGTTATAGCAGAATTTTTGTGTGTAATTTTACGAGTGGATTTCTGTCAAAATAAAAATTGTCTACTATCTCTATTCAGTGGTATATTTGCACAAATCGTAAACATATTCATAGAGATAGTGGGAGAAATTTATTTCACGGCTTACAAGAAGACAGGTTAAGTTGGGACATTTGATTGTTTCATTAATGCTACATTTTATAATGCACTTGTATGGGCAAGGTATTTAAATGTATTATAACAACTTTTAAATGCTCATTGTTACAGATGGAATTACTGGAGAAAGTACTAGCTGATATTTTCTTTGTGTGTGCTTTGAAGGCACAAGGAAATCATAAAGCAGCCCTTTTCCCTTTCCCCATCTATTTCCTGAAGGCCAAGCTGTGCTTTTGCAGATTAGGCCTCTCTGTAACACACACACACACACACACACACACACACACACACACACACACGCATATGGCCTTTATGGTTTTAAAGGAGGAAAAGAGAATTTGCCTGGATAACTGTCACCTAGGTATTTTCAGGGGAGATCTAGAATCATCTAAGGGGTTAAGCTGGACTAGCCAATGGGAAAACAAAATGAAGATACCGGGGAGATATTTCCAGAAGAGAAGCATTCCTAATGGGCTAGGCCCTAGTCACATGCAGTTCCCCAGATGTGGCTGGTGTGGCCAAGGTTCCGGCATGTGACGGCTGCCTTCCTGGCACTTCCCGTGCTGTGAGGAGCATCCCCTCCCCAGTGCCAGGACAGTGGTCCTCTCACCCCCTTCAGAGTAAAGGGCCAGCAGTTGGCAGTCTCAGGAAAAGTAGTGAGACAGGAAGGTGAGAAGCATGAAGTGCCACCATCCCAGCCTCCAGTGTCTGGCACAGAATATGACGAGGAACCTCCGTGAATTGGAATCTTCCACATCTCGACACATGTGAGTTTCTGCTAGGTATAATTTGACTTATAAAAACAAAAACATATGACCTTCTTGTATGTAAATCTTGTAGAAGAGTTAATAATTGTAACCTGGATGTTTTACATTGTGAGATGCTATTAAATCAATATCCATCACAAAACTATTGATAATTTTTTAGAATAGCAGAAGAGATCTCATCATATTTAATGCAGTGGATCAACTGTAAGATGCAGGTTAATTCCAGAAAAAGTAAAGCATAAAAAAATCTGTCTTAGAATGGAAAATACAGTAAACTATTTTTAACTAGAATTTAAATGCAACATTTTAGGATATGAAGCCATCAGCTCATTTTGAAAACTACTGGCTCAGATGACCTCAGCGATAGGAAACCTCTAACAGATCACGAATCTAATAATGAGATAATTTTCTGTGTCTTTGCCTGAGAGTCTGTCTGAAAGTGGTGCAGTTTTTACACAAGAGGAATAACGTGTCCCAGACTGAGAACGCTTCACGGGCCACCATTCTGGGCAGTGCTTCAGTGTGGAGTTTTAGCAGTGAGTATTCAGAAACAGTGGAATAATTTGTACTTTTTATAAAAAATATTATCTTGTCTATTTTTCTTTAAATATGCAGCAGAAGCTTACTATTATACAACTAAATTATGTGGGTTCTCTAACTGCCCACTTATTCTACCTTGATTAACATATGGTTTATTTCACCTTGATGTTTTTAAAGACAAGCATGTGCTGTGTGAGGGTTAGAATATGAGCCATAAACAAGGAGGCTTGAGATGGCAGTGCCTCCCCAAAAATGCGGTACCCCAGGACCTGCGCAGGGAACACTGCTTTGAACCTTAACACTTCTGAAATGGCTGGACATCTCTGCATGAGCTGTGTTTACCCACTTGTTCCATCTATTCTTATATTTTACAAGTATTTAGTCAATTCTTGAGCTAGGCCATGTGGTCTACCAAAGGAATAAGATATCTGTTGTTATTATTTTATTTTATTTCAATAGTTTTGGGGAACAGGTGGTTTTAGTTAAATGCTAAAGTTCTTTATTCATGGTTTCTGAGATTTTGGTCCACCCATAGCCCAAGCAGAGTACAATGTACCCAATGTGTAGGGTTTTATCCCTCACCTCCCTCTCACCTTTCCCCCTAAGTCCCCAAAGCCCACTTATCATTCTTAGGCCTTGGAATCATCATCATAGCTTATGTCCCACTTATAAGTAAGAACATACAGCGTGGTTAGGTCAGCAGAGGGCTCCAGGGGACTGGTGGGGCAGGCCAGGACATAAAAGAGGGCCTAGAGCCAGGGTTACCCAGGAGAGGGTGGACCCATTTTGCCAAGCACCCTAACCCTAAAAGCTGTAATCCTTACCCTTAACCCCAACCCTAACCCTAAACCTTAACCCTAACCTTTAACACCTTACCATAACCCCAACCCTAACCCCTAACCATAACCCTAAAACGCTAACGCTAAAACCCTAATCCCTAACACTAAACCCTAATCATAACCCTAAACACAACCCCAACCCTAACCCTAACCCTAACCACAATCCCAACCCCAGCCCCAAGCCTAACCTTAACCCTAACCTCTACCCCCAGCCTTTCTTACCTTTTACATCTGTCCAGCTTCTCTAGTAGAAGCAGGGACGCTTGGTTCCCAGGTGTGCACCACTGCATCTGGCACAGGACTCCGTATCAGTCCCCAAACAAGCACCTGAATGCTCACAGGGCAGCCATGCAGTGGAAGCCCAGGGTGTATTCTCACCTCCAGAACCAGCGCCCAGCACCTGCATCAGGCTGATCAGGGATGAAGTGAGCTGTGGCACCCAAGGTCTTCGTAAGACCAAGGCCACATTGTGCCTCCTATCACGGAGCGAGACGCAGCAGCCTTCAAAGTCAGGGGCCCTTCCCTGATGACACTCCAAGCACAAAGTACTGGACTTTCACACAATGAGGCTGCACACATTATTCTGTTTAAATCCCCACCTAGGCCACTGGGAGAAATGGTGATAGAGGGACCCTCGTGTTGCCCTGTGGTATACATGCTCTGGGTTCATACGACTGCAAGCCATTTACAAGAAACTCAAGCTGAAACGCTACTTGTTTCCAACTTCTTGTTTGCAGAGGATTTACAATTTACACCCCAAAACAGACAGCCACAGAGCACACTACTTCTCCTCTGAAGTCGCTCTGAGGGCCTCCGCATCAGTCCTAGAACTGGAAGATTGGTGGACAAGAACTGGGATGTTGATGGGGCACTGGATACTTGCTGGACACCAACCTCCTCTCACCTAACCTTACAGACGGCCCAGATCTCACCTGCCTGAATCAGACATTTTAACACACACAGCTCTCAACAGCAGGACTTACAGACACAAAACTCCAAGGTAAAGGATTGTCTCAACTCCTTGGTGTCTCAACGAACTAAAACACTGCCTAGCACAGGTGCACCATCAACCTTATTCACTAAATAAACCTCTGTATATTTTATTCATCTTTGATTGTGGAAATGATATAATGAACAAAATGATGTTTTATAAATTGGACTAAAGACCTTTGAGGTGTCTTCACAGGATCCTATCTGGTGGACCCCCAAATCTGCCAACACAGAGAAGTCATTCGTAAACACGTGCAGGGCAGAGGCCAGACAAAATCACCTCTCTCAGCCTCAAAGTGGCCTGGCAGTCACAGGAACGGCCATGTGGGGTCTGGCCTGTAGGAGGAAGTCAGGCTTTTGGTTTGAGGCACCCTACTGCACCACAAAACCAAGTTCTGCCTAACAAAGAAAAAACAGCCCACTCACTCTCCCTAATATCCCAGGTGGTAATCTAAGAGCAATATCTGCTTGACACCCCTCCTGCTCCGCCCTCCACATCCAAGCTATCACCAAGGCCCTGGCAATCCTACCTCCTAAATGTCTCTCAAATGCACTTCTCTCTCTTTGGAGTCCAGGCCACCAGTGTGACTTCTGCATGTGTGTAGCCGCCTCCTCGCAGGATCTAAACATGCAAATCTAGTCATAGGCTCTGTGAAAAGAAAATCTTGGGGCCCCAAGATTACTAAGCTAAAGGGAAAAGTCAAGCTGGGAACGGCTCAAGGCAAACCTGCCTCTCATTCTATTCCAAATCACCTATCTCCTCACTAAGATAGGTGCACATCCGATCGCCTCCTTTGGAGAGACTAACCAGAAACTCAAAACAACGCAACATTTGTCTCTCACCTACCTGTGACCTTGGAAGCCCCCTCCCTGCTTCCAGTTGTCCCCACCTTTCTGGATGGAAGCAAGGTACTTCTGACATGTACTGACTGATGTCTCATGTCTCCCTAAAACCAAGCTGTGCCCTGACCACCTTAGGCACTTGTCGTCAGGATCTCCTGAGCCTGTCACGGGTGCACGTCCTCAACCTTGGCAAATAAACTTTCTAAACTGACTGAGATCATCTCAGATAATCGGGGTTCACAAGTCCATGTATGTGGATGTCCCCTGGGGTAGTGCCCCTCCTCCACTGAGCTCATTCCAGTCCTCCTTGTGCGTTTTCTTCAGAAGAAATTTCACAGCTACTTGGTCCACACCTGTCGGCCCTACAGGAATGCTGTTCTCCACAGGCACATGGGCGGTGTACCAGCTGGGCTGTGTGGAGAGGACCAGGCTCCTCTCCTAATTCCCGCTCAGTTAAAAACAAAGGTCGAGAAGTGAAGAAATTTGCTAACCCTAACCCTAACACCAACCCCAACCCCAAACTGAACCCTAACCCAGCCCTAACCCCAACCCCAACCCTAAACCCAACCCCAACCCCAACTCTAACCCTAAACCCTAACCATAACTCTAAACCCAAACCCCTAACCCCTAACCCTAACCCTACCCCACCCCAACCCTACCCTAACGCTAACCTAACCCTAACCCTCACCCTCACCCTGCCCCTGCCCCGACCCTAGCCCTGCCCATAGCCCTAGCCCTAGCCCTAACCCTAACCCTAGCCCGAGCGTGAACCCCAGCCCTAACCCGAACCCTAGCGTTAGCCCAAACCCGAACCCGAACCCAAACCCAAACCCTAACCCGACCCCGATCCCCACCCTGACCCTAACCCAAACCCTTAACCCAAACCCTTAACCCAAACCCTAACCCTAACCCAAACCCAAACCCGGACCCGGACCCGAACCCGAACCCAGCCCTAACCCCAACCCTAACCCTAACCCTAGCCCTAGCCCTAACCCTAACCCTGACCCTGACCCTGACCCCCAATCCTGACCCTGACCCCCGACCCTGACCCGAACCCGAACCCCGACCCTTAACCCAAACCCGAACCCGAACCTGACCCTGGCCCTAAGAGGCATAGCTAAGGCTTCCTCTTGGGGTCAGGAGTCCGAGACTAGCCTGGCCTACATGGCAAAACCCAGTCTCTACTAAAAATACAAAAATTTGCCAGGCATGGTGGCACATGCCTGTAATCTCAGTTACTCCGGAGGCTAAGGCAGGGGAATCACTTGAACTTGGGAGGCAGTGGTTGCAGTGAGCCGAGATCACGCCACTGCACTCCAGCTTGGGCAACAAGAGCAAAACTCCGTCTCAAAAAAAAAAAGAAAAAAAACCATAGTATCTCAGCCGGGCGCAGTGGCTCATACCTGTAATCCCAGCACTTTGGGAGCCCAAGGCGAGTGGATCATGAGGTCAGAGTTCAAGACCTGCCTGGCCAATATGGTGAAACCCCGTCACTACTAAAAATACAAAAATTAGCTGAGTGTGGTGGCATGCGCCTGTAGTCCCAGTTGCTTGGGAGGCTGAGGCAGGAGAATCCCTTGAACCCGGGAGGCAGAGGCTGCAGTGAGCCGCATTCATGCCACTGCACTCCAGCCTTGGCGACAGAGCAAGACTCTGTCTCAAATAAATAAATAAATAAATATATATATATATATATATATATATATATATATATATAGTATCTTATACATTTAAGCAACCCTAGGAAGCAAATCAGGGAAGGTTCAAAAAAAATGAATAAGGGAGTAAGTATAGGAATAAAGAAAGAAATTGAAATCTCAGTGATTAGTATTTTCATAGCCTGTTCAAATCTAAGTATGTAGTCAATTCTGGGATCACTGTGATTTGGGGTTTGCTTTCTACCACTTAAGCTATTTAAAACACTGAGGGCCGGGCGCGGTGGCTCAAGCCTGTAATCCCAGCACTTTGGGAGGCCGAGACGGGCGGATCACGAGGTCAGGAGATCGAGAGACGATCCCGGCTAACACGGTGAAACCCCGTCTCTACTAAAAAAAAATACAAAAAAATAGCCGGGCGAGGTGGCGGGCGCCTGTAGTCCCAGCTACTCGGGAGGCTGAGGCAGGAGAATGGCGTAAACCTGGGAGGCGGATCTTGCAGTGAGCTGAGATCCAGCCACTGCACTCCAGCCTGGGTGACAGAGCAAGACTCCGTCTCAAAAAAAAAAAAAAAAAAAAAAAAAAACACTGAGAACGCAATATTAGAACTTTCATTTGAATGAAATACTCAGAATTGTGATTAAAATAAATAATAAATTACACAAGTTTACAAGTAACAGTTAAATGTTTAGGGTTAAGTTTTGCAAACAGTACAAATGTTTAAGAGTGTTGATTGGGAGTAAGGGAATGTCAACTGCCAATAAATATGGAAGATGAAAGAACAGGACTTTAAACAGAGCATATTTACTTATGGGTCTCTGTCTCCTCCCCACACAGAAAAACTCCCAGACATTCATGACTTCATCCACTCTGACTGGCAGATAGATCACATTTCCTGACCCCCCAGCTCTTCACCTCAAAAGGTTTATCTTTCCACCACACCAGCAAAAACCCTCAGGACACACGATTCATACTGCCAGCTAAGCATCTACGCCAAGGGACAAGGTAAGCACACGCTAAGGCAGCTGGGCCATCCTGGCCCTAATCCCTCCAGCGGTGTCCACACTGAGCATTGCAGCACTTGTAGAAGGTGGTCATCGGCTCATCTGCAGAGCGGGTCTGAAGCTGCATGAAGTAAGCACGAGGATGTTCGCATTTGGGACACGGCTCTGGCAATGAGAAAAAAGAAGTGACCCACATTAAAAGAAACATGATGCTCATGACTGTTAAAAGTAGGTATTACTTAATATGTGCGAGGCGAAAGCGGGCGGATCATCTGAGGTCAGGAGTTCAAGACCATCCTGGCCAACATGGTGAAACCCCGTCTCTACCAAAAATATAAAATTAGCCGGGCACGGTGGCAGGCGCCTTTAATCCCAGCTGCCTGGGACGCTGAGACAGGAGAATCGCTTGAACCCGGAAGGCAGAGATTGCAGCGAGCTGAGATTGTGCCACTGTACTCCAGCCTGGCGACTAAGTGAGACTCCGTATCAAAAAAAAAAAAAAAAAAAAAAAAAAAAAAAAAAAAAGTAGGTATTATTTAATGTCTTTTTTTTTTTTTTTTTTTGAGATGAAATCTCACACTGTCACCCAGGCTGGAGGGCAATGGGGTGATCTCGGCTCACTGCAACCTCTGCCTTTCGGGTTCATGCAATTCTCCTTGCCTCAGCCTCCCAAGTAGATGGGATTAAAGGTGCCCGTCACCGCACTCGGCTAATTTTTTTGTATTTTTAGTAGAGACGGGTTTTCATTATGTTGGCCAGGCTGGTCTGGAACTCCTGAACTTTTGATCTGCCCACCTCAGCCTCCCAAGGTGCTGGGATTACAGGCGTGAGCCACCGTGCCCAGCCTACTTAATATCTTTAAATATGGTAAAGAACCTCCCTGCTCATTTGATGCCCCTTGACAAGGGTAGGTCTACAAACAGCGATGTCATTCCTACTACACTCTAACACTAAGGGAATCTGAGAGACCTGTGACTCACAAACGCCGCTCCTCCCCTCCCTGATTCCCACGGTTCTTCTCAAGTCCAGCTGAAGGCTGGTTGGAAACATAACATGGAAGGTGACTGCTCTGGTGTATTTTGTGCTGCTGTAACAAAATGCCTAAGACTAAGTCACGGTTAGACAGTAGAAGAGTTTTGAAGTAAATGCTGCGAAAAGTCTGCATTGTTAAGAATTGAGCATTAAGGGCGATTCTGGTGTGGACTCAAAAGAAGAGAAAAGGCTGGGTATGGTGGCTCATGCCTGTAATCCCAGAACTTTGGGAGGCTGAGGTCAGGAGTTCAAGACCAGCCTAGCCAAGATGGTGAAACCCCGTCTCTATCAAAACTACAAAAATTAGCCAGATGCAGTAGCAGGTGCCTGTAATCCCAGCTACTAGGGAGGATGAGCAGGAGAATCGCTTGAACCCAGGCAGCAGAGATTGCGTCACTACACGCCAGCCTGGGTGAAAGAGACTCTGTCTCAAAAAAAAAAAAAAAAGGCCAGGCACGGTGGCTCACGCCTGTAATCCCAGCACTTTGGTAAGCCGAGGCCAGCAGATCACCTGAGGCTGGGAGTTCGTGACCAGACTGACCAACATGGAGAAACCCCGTCTCTACTAAAAATACAAAATTAGCCAGGCGTGGTGCCACATGCCTGTAATCCCAGCTACTTGGGAGGCTGAGGCAGGAGAATCGTTTGAACCTGGGATGTGGAGGTCACGGTGAGCCGAGATCGCGCCACTGCACTCCAGCCTGGGCAACAAGACTGAAACTCAGTCCCAGCCCAAAAAAAAAGAATAAAAAGTAGACTGGGCATAGTGGCTCACACCTGTAATTCCATTAATTTGGGGGCTGAGGCAGGAGGATTGCTTGACCCAAGGAGTTCAAGACCAGCCTGGGCAACATGGCAAGATCTAGTCTCTACAAATAATAATAATAATTTTTTTTTTTTTTTTTTGAGACGGAGTCTTGCTCTGTCGCCCAAGCTGGAGTGCAGTGGCCGGATCTCAGCTCACTGCAGCTCCGCCTTCCGGGTTCCCGCCATTCTCCTGCCTCAGCCTCCCGAGTAGCTGGGACTACAGGCGCCCGCCACCTCGCCCGGCTAGTTTTTTGTATTTTTTAGTAGAGATGGGGTTTCACCGTGTTAGCCAGGATGGTCTCGATCTCCTGACCTCGTGATCCACCCATCTCGGCCTCCCAAAGTGCTGGGATTACAGGCTTGAGCCACCGTGCCCGGCCAATAATAATTATTAATTATTATTAGCTGGATATGGTGGCAAGCACCTACGGTCTCAGCTACTCAGGAGGCTGAGGTCGGAGGAATGCTTGAGACTGGGTGGTGGAGGCTGCAGTGAGCCATGATCGCACCACTAGAACTTGGGCACCAGAGCAAGACCCTGTCTCAAAAAACAAAAAAAACAAAAAAGTGGATTTAGGAGAGAAAACCAAGGGTATGGTCAAGGGACCATGTGATACAGAGATGAGTACGGACAGAAGGAAGCCAGATGCTATTCGTCAAGCAATGGGAGGATGACCTCTTCAAGGCATTTTGGAGATCTTGGGGTGGGATGAAGGGATGCCATGCCCATCACAGGCCCAGAGTGGTTTCGAGGGACCTCAGGGTTTCCTATAGCTCCCCTGGCTCTCTGCTCCCTGTATTCCAGGGCACCATTACTAAGCCAGACCCTACCAGACACCAAACCTGCTGGTGATTTGTACAAGGACTTCTCAACCTCCAGAATTGTGAGCAATAAATTTCTGTTCTTTATAAATTACCCGGTATGTGGTATTCTGTTATAGCAGTGCAAATAAAGATAGTGATTTATGGGCTGAGTGCGGTGGCTCATGCCTGTAATCCCAGCACTTTGGGAGGCCGAGGCAGG